CTTGCTCAGGATTCCGCAGCGCTCCACAGGCGGCCCGGACTCCGTCTCCGGATCCTCCTCGGAGCCCGACGAGTTCCAGCTCTGGTTATCCGACATGGAGGCGCGACAGACAAGCAGGAGACCGGCCTCTGCTCCCTGAGGTGAGCCGGGGGAGGCGCCCAGTCCCCGGAGTGCAGGGTCGAGGGACAGCGAAGGGAAGAGTGCCCGCTTGGGCGCCGGGGGGAGCAGGAGTAAGGACGAAGTCCGGCAGCCGCGCCCGCCGTCGCCGCCGCGCCTGACACCGAACGGACCGGGAAAGGAGGACCAGCGGCGAAGGAAGCCTGCTCTTCCAGCCGTCAGCTGTCGTCGCCGTGACCCCTGCGTTGCACCCAGCGCCGCCACCCGAACTCGACCCCCTCGATGCCAATCTCAAATAGGAAAGGGAAAAGGAAGGAAGAAGGAAGAGAAAAATCCAGCTGCAGAGACCCAGGTCCACTCACACCTCTGCCTCGGCCCACTGTCCAACTCTCTGATGCATAACAAGTGATTGCAAAGACCATGGCCTGTATCAGATGCACCTTAGTCTCCAGAGCCTACCATTGCTCTTCAGTACTTTGGAGAGGTCCCTAACAGAAGACTTTCCCATCGCAACACGTTTTCTGATTTCCTGGTACTGGTGCCAAGAGTGTTGACGTGAAGCCAAGCAGACTAAAGTTGTTAACAATCTCAATCTCTTCACCCATCCTGATGCTGCCAATTGGTCCTGTGGTGAGAATCTTTGTCTTCTTGACATTGAGCCTCAATCCATACTGAAGGCTTCATTCAGTCTTTGACCCTCTGCAGCAAGCGTATACATTAAATTATTTAAGAATTAGAATTGCAGTTATATTCTATTTCCCAAAACCCAGAGGTAAAAGTCTAATTAACAGAACAATTTTAAAAAAACCATGTTTTTAAAACAAAGAAGTTACTCCTTGTATTAAGACATTTCAATTACTTAGAGAATGCTCAACATTTTAAAAATGCCTCCTAAGAGAACAGCGTTTTCCTTTTGCTCTCTAAACCTCAAAGATGACCACTGGGTCGACTGGCAGCAGCATGATAGATGGTGAAGAGATTGAGATTTCTGACAGCTTTAGTTTGCTTGGCTCTATAATCAACACTCGTTGTACCAGCAGCCAGGAAATTAAAAGATGAATTGTATTTGCTTTCAGAGATCTCTCCAAAGTATTGAGGAGCAACAATGTAAGTCTGGAGACTAAGGTGTGCCTGACACAGGCCATAGTCTTTGCCATAACTTGCTATTCTTCAGAGAGCTGGACAATGACTAGGGATGATAGGAGAGTTGATGCCTTTTTTTGGTGCTGGAGTATTGAATATACCATGCAATGCTAGGAGAACAAACAAATTCATCCTGAAAAGGGTGAAGCCAGGCTGCTCCTTGGAGGCAAGGATTCTGAAGCTCTGTCTGACATACTTTGGACATGTTGCAAGGAGGGACCAGCCCTTGGAGATGGATGTCATGCTTGGGCAGGTAGAGGGAGAGTGCAGGGGAGGAAGATCCTCAATGAGATGGATTTATTCCGTCACTGGGGTAATGGGGATAGGTGTGTTGGAGACAGTGGGATTGGCAAGGGATAGAGCAGGGTTTAAGGCTGTTGTACATAGGGTCACAATGAGTCGCCAGCAACTTAAAGGCACTTAACAATAACAACAACCCTAACCCTCACTGCATGGAGTCGGAAGCAGCTCACAGCTGACCCAGGCTCTAACTCACCTGGGAGGAGACTGCCCAGCTTTCTCCAGTGAAGTCGCTACTTGATTTAAGTGCTAGAGTCTGACACTATTGGGTTAGGAGCACAGCTCCTTGCTGACAGGCTACCAGAGAGCCTTGTGAAACAGGTAGTATGGAAATTTCAAAGAGAACTGCTTCAATTTTACTTAGTTGAACTGTTCTTAGTTGATGTTGTGCAGGCTCTAGCTCATGGCTCCCTCACACATGGCAATGATAAGCTGTGGATGGAATCACTGTGGGTCTTCACTGGCTGAATCAGAAGCCGCTCACCACACCATTCTTTCCACACTTACGCTGGAAGCTTCACGGAAACCTGATCAGCAACATGCCAACCACTACTGACAGACAGCGGTGGTTGTGTGTATGATGTAGGCCAGGAAATGAACCGGGGTTACACCAAGGAAAGTGAACATTCTCACAGGAATCACTAGTGCCTCAATGTGGCTGACTTCAATTTTAATTCACAGGAACCTCATGTAAGAGCAGAAAAGTTCCACAGGGTTTCCTTGGTGTAATCTTGAAGAGGCAGGTCTTTGGGTCTTTCTGTCATGTAGGCACTGTTGTTTTTAGGTGCCACTGAGTCAACTAGGCCTCACAGCTGCCATATGAACAAAAGACCAGAAATCTGTTCTATCTGTGCCATCCTCCTAATCTCTGACACACTTGAATCCATTGCTGCAGACACTGTGTTAAGGGTCTTCTATCTGGTTAAGGGTCTTCTTCTCTTTCACTGATCCTCCACCTTTCCAAGCATGACGTTCCTCTCCAAGGAATAGCCTCTCCTAGAAACGTGTGTGAGATGAAGTTTTGTCATCTTTGCCTCCAAGAAGCACTCTGGTTGCACTTTTTCCAAGACATATTTGTTAGTTCTTTTGGCATTCCATGAGTTATTCAGCATTCTTCTCCAACACCACAGCTCAAAGGCATCAATCTTTCTGTCATCCTTATTCACTGTCCAACTTTCTTTTGTTTTCTTATTTTTGCTTGTCCCCCATCTTTATATTCTTTCTTCTGTTCTCTTCTTTTTTTTTTTTTACTGTCCAACTTTCTAGGTAGGTTCATATCACCAGCATACTTAGGAGAAATCAGGTACTCACTCCTTATGCCACCAAGGCTCTGAGCTGACTTGGGGTGGGGTATATTTTAAAAAAACATTCAAGCTGAGTCTTATTTAAGGTTTATTTTTAACTTCCAGAAGCATAAAGATATATTCAGGTCAACTATTAAAAATGCTGTTAATAGCAGATAATTTGGCTAATTAGAATTTCAAGCAGCATGCATAATAAAAGAAACTATCTCTGAGAGGCAAGAACCAAATTACACCAGAGTTTGAAATCGCCTTAATTCCCTCAATATTTTCTTAAACATGTTTCTCTACCCACACCATCTATTTTCTTTACCCTGACCCTTGTCCCTCTCCTGGGAGAATGTATTATATTTTAAGTTTTTTTAATTCTAGTACTAAATAAGTGCAAGGTCTAACTTTTAAAATAAAAATGACAAAGTTTACATTGCATAGAGTGAAGTTTCCCTCCTACTTCTGCTCCCTAACCTAACCATCAGTTCTCCTCTTGATGGTTGACCAATGCTACCCGTCTCTCGTGTACCCAGAGGTATTCTATGCACACTCACCCAAGTGTCTGTTATACATATTTTTATATAACTGCTCCTGAGGAGATGTTATCAAGTTACTGCAATCAACATGTTATACAGAATGACTTCACAGTTTACTTGAATGTTTTCCTAGGCTTCCATCATGGCAGATGGAGAAAAAACTGAAGTAGTCAATGATTTCACCTTATTTAGATTTCACAAACAACATGCTTGGTACCAGAGATCAAAAATTCAAAAGACTGAACAACCAGGAGAGGACAACATCAATGAATAAGATCTTCTAAAGATTAAGCCCGTGTACAAGAAAAAAAATTTTACCAAAAAAAAATAAATAAAAAAAATTGAAAATAAAACCTACTGACTGGGGAAAAAAACCATTTGGCAATGACATCTCAGACAAAGGTTTCATAACAAAAGATTACAGATTCCTATAGGGCCTCCACAAGAAAAAGGACTGATAATCCAATCACAAAATGGGCAAAAGACATTGAAAGAATGTTCACAAGGGAAGATATTCAGATGGCCAACAGACACATGAGAAATGCTCAGACTCACTAGTAATCAGAGATGTAAATCAAAATCACTATAAGATACCATCTCACCACAGCAGCAGTGGCAAAGTTTAACAAGACAGCAATCAATGTTAGAGAGGAGATATGAAAAGACTGGAACTCTCAAACACTGTTGGTGGGATTGTAAAAAGGTAAGATGACTCTGGAAGGCAGTTTGGCATTTCCTCAAAAAAATGAACGTAGAAATTCCACCGCACCCAGTTATTCCACTGATAGGAATATACCCTGAGGAAAATCGAACTGAGACACAAATGTAGATCAGTACACTGATGTGTACAACAGCAAGAAAATGGAAATAGCCCAAATGTCCATCAAACAGATAGATTAAGGATTTGTGACACAGTCACATGATGGAATACTACGCAGCACTCAGGAACAATGATTTAAAAAAAATACTATGTAAAATTGGAGAGGCTACAGAGTATTATGCTGAGTGAGCTCACTCAGTCTCAGGAAGGACAAATAAGACCATCATGATCATAAAAAATAGAAGTATAATTAGTAAGATGCGTACAAAAATCTAAAGGAGGAAAGAGAGACTGGGGACTGAAACGGGGAAGGAGGGAATTCACAAGGTTGCAGAATCTGGTGGGTGGAAGGAGGGGGTGAAGGAATTAGGAGAGATCCAGTGAGGACCTAAAAAGATAGGGTAGTAACAGACGCACAGCCTTTGAGACCCTGGTGCGCCTGCCCATGGGGCCGGGGGTTAAGCTGCAGCACAAGAGCATGAGTTCATGCATAACTGGGGCCCCAGCCAGCTGCAGGCGGCCCTTTTAACAATAAGTGAGATGGCGGCCGACCAGGCCTCTACCGGGGTTTGCATCTTGGGTCTCAATTCTCAGGATGATCCCTTGGGAAATGGATAGTAGGCTCCTGTGTTGTGTGTGAGCTGCTGACTAGCTAGACTAGCCTGCACTGCAACTTAACCAGTCCTTGACATCCAATAAGCTTTAGGTGTTATTGAAGAAAAAAAAAGGGTAATAATGGGCAAAGAGTATTGGTGACTGGTTTTAGAAAACAATGTATGGGAATGATTGGATAAAACACTATGTGAATGTAGGAAATGTGTGAAACATAATGTATACAAATTTTAGATGGGCACTAATATAAAATGTATTTAAAAGTATTAAAAAATTATTTCAAAGACACCTGGCATTGGGAAAAACTGATGTAAAAGAACTCTCCAAAGTGCTGAAGAGTAATGATATAAGTTTAAAGACTAAGCTGGACAATGACTCAGGATGACAGAAATGATACCCAAGTTGTAGTGCTAGAGATAAGTGCTGAATATACCACAGACTAGCAAAAGAACAAATCTGTCTTGGAGAAAGTGCAACCAGGATGCTCCTTAAAGACAAGGTTTCATCTCTCATACCCTGGGCATGTTGTTAGTCCTTGAAAAAGGACATCATGCTTGAAAACGTGGAAGGTCAGCGAAGGAGAGAAAGACCCTCAACATGATGGACTGATACAGTGACTGTAAAAATGGGTCCAAGTGTGTAAGAGATGCTGAGGATGGTGCAGGCTAGGGCAGGATTCAGACCTGTTACTCATGGGGCCCTCAAGACTTGCAGTCAACTTGTTGGCACTTAACAGCTTTTTCATTTAATAACGTATTGGTGAGAACATTCTATGTGACACTTTAAAAAGCTACCTAGTAAATGTTAACACCTGTATTTCATCACAGATGTTACTTAATGTATTTAACTTACAATGCTGAAGCCTGCACACTGTACTTCTATCATTTTTACATGCTTTTTCATTTCAATGAATGGTTACAAATGACAGTAATTTTCAGACTTTTTTATACCATTATTGTGGTTCATTTACTACAATGTCTAACGAACTCCTTAATGTGTTGTCCTTCCCACCACCCAATTTATCTATTTATTTTTACACCTCTCTCTCTCCCATCCCATCCTCATTAAACTTCCAAAATTACTTGTGTGTGTAAATCTTTCCTTAGGTTTTTAGAAAATCAGACTTACAGCACATCCACCCTCTACATCACTCAGGGTAATTTATGTTAGAGGCATCCATGTTGTGCAGTATGTCATGAATCCATGATCATTTTTTTAGTGAATGCAGAATACTCCATTGTACAAATACCATTTTACCAGCATAACTGCATGACCAATTCTGAAAGCAAAATCTACAATGCTGATAAGTACTACCAAATTAGCCACACTGCCCTTTAATAATAAGGGAGCATGTTTTTCCACATTGTCCCCAACACATGGTATATCAAATTTGTATATTATGGTTTTGTGTTTTAACATTCAAAGTCTATGGGACAAAAATATAACATTTTAACTTAGTTTTAATTACCAATTCCTTTATTATGATTAAGACTGTCCATCTATCTTTTCCTATTTATGATCTTTTTATACTTTCTTTTCTTTAAAATGTCCAATCATATTATTTTTTTAAATTAGCTCGACCTTTTCTACATTTGTGCTCTTTACACATGGAGAAATTAATTATGTTTGATAATGTCAAATATTTCTATTTTATGATGTGCTTGTCTTTATGGTAGTTTATAATATAAATAAACCCTATTTTTGCATAATAAATAATCAGCTTTTCAATATTTTTAGACTTTTTTTATATTCTTGCAAGTAAAGACACCCTCAGATTCTATGTATTTTTTCCATGATTTTTTTCTACTTTCAAGGTTCCATTTTTTAATATTTAAATCTCTGAACCTAGCATAAGGGGAGATCGTGTATGAATCATGACTGAAAAATTTATGCCCAGCAGGAATCTAAGAATGTAACCTTCTTAGAAAACAGTCTCTGTAGATGTAAAATGAGTCCACAGTGGATTAGGTCAGGCCTTAAATCCATGACAAAAGACCTGCTCAGAAGAAAATTTGGACACAAGGACAGATACAGAAAAGATGCTGCCACGGAAAATCAGGACTGCTGGCAGCCACCCAAAGGCAGGGGAGAACACAGAGCAGATCCTCCCTCAGAGGCTCCAGAACGAGCCACTTAACTTGGGACTTCTGCTGCCAATCCCGATTTTGGACCTCTAGCTCCTTAAACTGAGAGAGAATACATTTCCATTATTTAAGGCAACAATTTTCTGGTCAGCAATTTGCTGAGTCAAATCTAGAAAACTAAATGCCACACAGTCTTGGTTTGTTGTGGTTTTTTTTTGTTTTGTTTTTTAGGGGAAACGGCCATGTTTAATGGAAAACAGTAGTTATTTAATGCAATTCTGGTTTATTGCCAACAAAATGAGACACTCACTGTGCAAGTCATCTGGGCAGGAACTTAAAACAAGAGGTAAAAAACAAGAAAACAAGGGAAGTTTATAAGCTCTCTCACACAGACATCTCTCAGAAAACACTGATTAACAAATCTCAGGTTCAGAAATACAGGAAAAGAGAGAATGTTGAAAGTCACTTAATGTGCCCAGGGTAAGATGGTGTCTCCATTCTCGTTTCTGTAAACTGCTCCATTAGCATGGTCCATCTTGGATTATTTTTATATCTTTACCTTCTTCCCTGATTTCCATGCAGAGGGTACACTCATTGGGGTATGTGACCATGTCACTCCCACACACAGGGTTTAAGTCCCTTGGACACCCTGGTAGTTTATACTGGTCATTCTGGAGTTGTGTGTCCTTGAGGCATAGCAAGCTGTAAGTTAAAAGAGGCTGCTGGCAAATTCCCTGCCACCAAGCAATAGTACCAGGCCGGCGGCAGAGAAAAAAGCCATCCTCCCTCTGCCGGCAGCCGGCTGACCGGTGACTGCACTATGCTTTTGTTTTTTTTTTTAAAGTATGTTAGTTTTTAGTGAAAGAAAAGCAGCCTTGGAGAGAGAAGGCCCTCAGCTTGCAAACTTGGGAGGAGCTGGTGCAGCTTTCTGGGGAGAGGGGACTGAACCGACCAGCTTACCCTTGGTCATCAGATCGGTATGAGTGGGTCATTAGGGAATTTCCACTTGCAGTGGGTTGGCACAGGGACCCAAGAAAGGAGGTTTATTCAGTTGGCTTCTGAACGACAATCAGTAAATAGTTTTTATCTGGTGCAACCACAATGTCATTTTTCTTGGACCGAATCTGAAGGCAGGTGAGATTATTCTGGGGGTCACTTTCTTGCACTGTGCTCTGTACCTTGAAGATGAAGCTGTGTCTGAGGTTGGCTTACTGTGTGGTAGTGGAACTGTCCATGGAGCCTTTGATGGAAATGCCTTCTGTGTTCCCTATGGTGATTCTCTACACACCCTTCTGGCTTTGCTTCAAGGTCTCTTCTTCTCAGACAGCTGATAAGGATGAAAGTTACGTAAAGCACTCAGCAGTGCCTAGCATACAGTGAGAGCCCAGGAAATGTTATCATCATGGTTAACATGCTACAGGGCACAGAACACCAGAATGCTGGCTCTGAGGGGCAGACGCCTCATCTCCATCGGTTCCTGGCCAAGCCCCTAGCCTGTTTATTTTCTGAAAGCTGAACTTCATTTTTCAGCAACCTTATTTAATCAAATATTAAGATAAAATTTTTATGAACCACCAAGGAAGAAAGGCGGGGGAAGAAATGCTCTCAATTAAATAGCATACCAACTATAAAATGCATCAAAACTGAAAAGGATTATGAAACAGTTATACTGTTTCCAAAAAATGAAAATTTTATTAGCCTTTTAGGTTCCACATTTTTGTATGAAAAAGAAAATATTTTATCATGACTTTTTCTTTCTAACAATTAAAACCATATTCCAATCAGTAATGTTGAATAATAGGTACAATTTCCTCTTACTTGGATCCATAATCAACACCCTTGGTACTGGCAGTTGTCAAGATATCAAAAGACATGTTGCACTGGGAAAGTCTGTTGTCAGAGACCTCTCCAAAATGCTAAGGAGCAATGATGTCTATTTCAGGACCTGATTCAGGTGGACCGGATTCAAGTGAGGGTCTTTTAAATCACTTGAATCACTTCAATCACATCTGAGAGTAGGACAATGAATTGACACCTCTGAGTTGTGTGTTGGAGAAAATACTAATACCCCATGGATGGCCAAGAGAGCACATATGTCTTGGAGAGGGTGCAGCCGGCATGCTCCTTGGAGGCAAGGATGATGAGGATTAGATCATTACCTTGATGTAGAATTTAAACCTGGGTTGTTCAGCTGACTTTCCTATAAACTGAGCTTTGCATACAGTACAGCTTAATCCATTTTATTTTCTACTTGGTGTGATAAAAATAGGAACTATATTTCCTTGCATGTTTCCAATTGTTTCAGCAACACTTATTAAAGATATTATTCTTTCTTTCATTGTTGTTGTTATGTGCCGTCGAGTCATTTGCGACTCATAGTGACCCTATGTACAACAGCCCTAAACCCTGCTCTATCCTGTGCCAATCGCATTGCCCCTGACACACCCATCCCGATTACCCCAGTCACTGAATCAATCCACCTCATAGAGGGTCTTCCCCTCTTGCACTGTCCCTCCACTCTACCCAGCATGATGTCCCTCTCTAAAGACCTGTCTCTCCTTACAACATGTCCAAAGTATAACAGGCGAAGCCCCAGAATCCTTGCCTCCAAGGAGCAGCCTGCTTTAAACCTCTCTAGGATGAATCTGTGTTTTCTTGGCAGTCCATGGTACATTCAATACTCTTCTCCAGCACCACAGCTCAAAGGCGTCAATTCTCCTTCTATCCTCCCTAGTGATTGTCCAACTCTCTGATGTATAACAAGTGATTGCAAAAACCATGGCCTGTATCAGGCGCACCTTAGTCTCCAGAGAGACACCATTGCTCCTGAGCACTTTAGAGAGGTCCCTAACAGCAGACTTTCCCATCACAATACGTTTTTTGATTTCCTGGCTCCTGGTGCCAAGAGTGTTGACCATGGAGCCGAGCAAACTGAAGCTGTGAACAATCTCAATCTCTTCACCATCCATCCTGATGCTACCGATTGGTCCAGTGGTGAGAATCTTTGTCTTCTTGACATTGAGCCTCAGTCCATATTGAAGGCTGCAGTCCTTGATCCTCTGCAGCAAGTGCATGAGGTCCTCCTCAGTTTCAGCGAGCAGGGTTGTGTCATCTGCATAATGCAGATTGTTGATAGATCGTCCACCAATCCTACCGCCACGCTTCTCCTCATAGAGCCCAGCCTCTCGGATAATCTGCTCTACATACAGGTTGAAAAGTTATGGAGATAGGACACATCCCTGGCGTACACCCTTCCCAATTTTGAACCAGGCAGTGTTACCCTGCTCTGTTCTGACGACTGCCTCTTGGTCCAAGTATAGGTTTCGCATTAGCACGATTAATTGTTCTGGGATTCCCATTCTTCTCAGAGTCAGCCACAGTTATGATCCACACAGTCAAATGCCTTTGCATAATCAATGAAACACAGACAGACATTCTTCTGGTATTCTCTACTTTCAGCTAAGATCCATCTAACATCAGCTACAATATCCCTAGTACCACGACCCCTTCTAAACCCAGCCAGGACTTCTGGCAGTTCTCTGCTGATGTACTGTTCCAGTCTTTTTAGGATAATCTTCAGTAGAATCTTGCTTGCATGTGAAATCAATGATATTGTTCTGTAGTTTCCAAACTCAGTTGGGTCGCCCTTCTTTGGGATGGGAACAAATAATAGACCTCTTCCAGTCAGTTGGCCAAGTGGCTGTTCTCCAGATTTCTTGACACAACTTGGTGAGCACATCCAGGGCAGCATCTGTTAGCTGAAATATGTCAATTGGTATACCATCTATTCTGGGGGCCTTGTTTTTTGCTATTTTCTTCAAACAGCTTGAACTTCTGCCTTCATCACCATAGGCTCTGGCTCAAATGCTATTTCATTAAATTCTTCTGTATCTGCCAATTCCTTTCGATACAATGACTCAGTATATTCTCTCCATCTTCTTTTGATACCTCCTGGATCATAAAACAATTTTATCAATTTTGTCAAAACCAAATGACCACAGATGCATGGCTTTACTCCCAGTCTCTTGACTTCATTCTCTTGATCTATATTTTTGTCTTTCCTTGAGCCTGTAGTAATTTTTATGTTATTGCAGCTTAAGAAAGTCTTAAAATGAAGTAGTTAGTTCTTTTCAAGATATCTAGAGCCCATGCAATTACAAATAAGTTTTAGGACCAGTTTTCCCATTTCTGTAAAACTATAAACAGGGGATTACTGTCATTCAATACAAAAACACAAAATTTTTCAATTTATGTAGGCCTTCTTTCAGCAACAATTAGTACTTCTGCAGTGTATATTTGCCCCCCAGTACTTAAGTCTTATACTTCCTTAAACTTCTTCGTAAATAATTTTTTGAAGCTGCCATAAATGGAATAACTTTCTTTTTTTAATAACTTTCTTAATGCCTTTTTATATTTTGTATTGCTAGTATAGAGAAATAAAAGTTTTTGTGTGTTTATCTTTTATCCTTCAACTCTGCTCTATGTTTATTAGCTCTAACAGTTCTGTGTCTGTGTGTGTGCATGCATTCTTTAGGATTCCTTGTATACATGATCATGTCAACTTCAATAGCAATATCTTTCTTATTATTTTTCTAATTTGAATGCCTCATATTTTTTTTTCAAAGCCAACAGCTGTGGCTAGAAATTCCAGTACAATGCTGAACACAGTGGTGAGGGAGCAGGCACCCTTGCTGTTCCTGATCTTCAGGAGAAAGCTTTCAATCTGTGAGCTATAGGTTTGTCATAAATGCCTTTTATCAGGTCACAGAAGTTCACATCTATTCTTGGTCAGTCACGGTATTTATCATGACAGAGCATTGGGTTCTATCACATATTTTTCCTGTACCAAATGAAATCAGTGTTATCCCTCCTTTCATTCTACCAGAGGTATGAAGAAAAGCAACAGCCCTGAAAAACACCTTTTCTGATTTTCAACCATGCCTTTTTTTCTTGAACACATATGTTCTGGGATTCTGCATGAATACAATGAAGTGTTGTTCTGGGATTCTTACTTTTCTCAATGCCAGCCGTAATTTGTTATGATGCACACAGTCTGGATCTCACAAGTGTTCCATTTGACTGGGTACTATCTTGCATTTTTCTATCATTTTTCTATTAGAAGAAAATATTTGAGTTTCTGTTTTCTGACAGGTTCACCTTATACATACAGGTTTGGTTGGTTGGTTTGTTTTTTGTTGTTTGTTTTGTTTTGTTTTTTTAGGATAGGGTAAAAGTCAGATCTATTACAGGGACACTATGGGTTATAGTTAACTCGGTGGCACATAGCAACACGAGAGAACCAAGCCTGAGGTACGGAGGTTAATCAAGCAGATGTGCACGTAGGCTATTTAACTCTGGGTCTAGAAATGAAAGACAGCAAAGAAAAATTTCAAAAACAGAAAGAAGAGTACCTGTTAAGCTAGGAAAAAACCCAAACATCTATGTTATACATTGACTGTGGGTCTTCATGGCAAGGAACTGCAGGCAATGTCTAGCAGCTGCTAGAAGTCCCTTGTGACTGCTGGTGAGCATAAAGAAACATCAATCCCACACCTGACTGGAACTGAATTCAGCTAACACACTGTAGGTCACTGGAAGAGGACTCTGAACTCCAAAGGAGAACAGCCCAATAACACCTTGACTGCAGTCTGTGTGACACTGAGCAGAGAAACTATCTCATTCATTCCAACTTAAAACTTTACAGAAACATTTTTTTAATTAACTTTAATGAACGTTTAGAGAGACTTTGGATTTTCATTCATTCATTGTTGCTACAGAAACTTTTCTTTTGGGGGGGGATGTGTTTTCTGTGTATGTACCATCAAATCGGATCTGACTGGTACAGGAGGAGATTGTCCCTCCTCCGGCAAAGCATCTGGTTGATTCAAACTGCTCACCTCTGGGATTATAACAGTACAGCTTCTTGCCACTAGGCCACCAGAGCTCGCCAGCTACAGAAACTTTTAAGACAATAAGTGTTATTTTAAGTTCCTAAAGCTGTGTCAGGGAGCTCTGGTGGGGAGTTGCACCAAAATCTGCACTTGTCTTAAAATTGAAATCAATCAACGGCTTTAAGTAAGAAAGATGGGCAATCTTCTTCCATGTGATTTACAGCCTCAGAAACCGGCCGGAGAGTCAGTTATGAGTCAGTTGCGATACAAAAGCAATGAGAGAAATCTGTGTTTTAATATATACCAAAGAGTACCTATTTTCCTACTTCTGTAGCAATGAATGGGCAAAACGCAAAAGTGAAAATGTAAAGTTATCTCTTACTAACTACTTAGAGATTTTGCTCATTTAATGCCAAAACTGCAAGTATTTATTTTGTAATATTTTTCCAAAACTCCCATTTTATGGGAAGTATGAGCAATGGAAATAGGCTTATCTTTATTTTTAACTTTAGGATGTTACTTTAATAATGATACAAAGCTTAATGTTATTAGATATCTGGGCTCCTTGAACTTCAGCCAAAGCTGTGGCAACCCAGGGACGTAGAATGTCAGCTTCTTCTCCCAGTCGAACACAAGGTCACGGCTCCTGTCCTCTAGCAAGCACTAGACATCGGAACGCCATAACAAGAACCTTTCCATTTTGTTATAGGAACAGCTAGGAGGTGCTCTCTGGTACGAAAACAACAACACTATTTCTATAAAATTACAATCTTGACACCTCAATTCATGTACTCTTTTCCCACAACCCAGGCAGCCCCTTACTAAGGCACCACGGCAGAGCGCACGGCGTGCTGGGAACTGTAGTTCTAGTATCGCGACCTTCACCCCCTGAGTGCAGGGACTCCATGGCTTTCACGTGCCTAACGACGGCCAAGCGCCAACAGCAAAGATTGGTCCGCAAGTGCCGGAGCGTGATGCTGATTGGCCAGCACCTCCCCGAGGCCGGGTGTCCCGCGCCGGGCCCGCCTCCCAGCGGCTTCTTTCCACACCCCACCCAATTCTAGCGATAACCCTCCAGTCATCTCGTACGGAAGGACCCCACAATTAACTGCCTCATTCATCCGAATGGAACTCCTAAAATGAGGGCGACACTGACAAATGCCCTTGTCCTAGCGCCTGCGAATGGGCAAAGTCTCCCCGTTTTCAGCTGTCAGCCCCAAATCCATTTCCTCACGCGCCTTCTCGGAGCCGTCACTCCCGCGCTCACCTGGGCGGCGGCGGTCACGCCCGATAATTGACAGGCTCGCAGCATCTTGGTGGCCAGGTGGACGGCGACACTAGTGTACGCGGGAGCGGGAGCAGCCGCGGCGGCGGAAGAAGGGGAAGGAGGGTGTGGGCGCGTGCGTGCGTATCTGCATCCGGGTCGCCCCTTTGCTTGCCGGAAGCGCAGCCGACACCACTGCGCACGCGCTCATCGTTACGCAGCTGTGCGAATCGTGGTCGGCGGAACCCGGTCTTTCTCAATAGAATATTTCGAAGGAAGTAATTTATTTAGCCAATTACATGAGCAATGATGGAATCTCCGTTTGCACATTAGCTTTTGTTTAAGAGGTCTTCGGGGCGTCATCATACGTGCTGCAAACTGGGTGAACGAGCACAGGAGGCACTACTGTGCTTGACGCTTGACGTTTCTTTGGGGTTGTGTGACACTGAGGAAGCAGTCTAAGCAACCCAGATTCTTTGGGTTCCACGGCTGGTTTTAGTCACCAGCTCTTCAATTCCACTCCTATAATAAGCTACTCTTTTTTTCTTATTAAGGTTTTTGTTCTATAAGGATCGTTTTGGCCACATTCTGTAAAATGAGAAGGAGGTTTAACACTGAAACACCTGTCCAAAGCATTCCACTGAGTCAAGATAGGGCATGTTAAATGTTCACGTTATTTAAACTGTTAGTACATTTCGAATTCAACAGCCGTTCAATGGAAGAAAAATGGACTAAATCTTCCCATGCGATTGAAAACCCGCTGGAGGGTCACTTGCATGACTCCCCAGTAAAGGCAGAGAGAGTGATCTTATTACTTAGAACATTTCTTTTAAAAAAAATTAATTTTAATAAAAGTTTATAGAGACTTGGGGTTTCCATTCATTCATTGTTGCACTTTTCTCCCTGCCCACCCATCTCCCCCAATTCTCTCGTCTTTGAAAAGTAAAATTCATTCATTGTTATCCCTCCCCCGAAGTACACTCCACCGTGCAGCCTTCATTCTGGACTCCTGTCATGACAATAATACCTAATCATATATCCATTGTAAATAGTTCTCTCCCTCATCTGTTTCAATGCAGTATACATTATTTATCCCCTCTTTCTCAGTCTTCCCTCAACCTTGAAGTCAGTCTCGTTTTACAACAGTGGCCCTATGCAATATTTGTCCTTTTTTGTGCTGAGATAGTTCACTCAGCATAATGCTTGCCAGGGTCATTTTGTATATTTCATGAGTTCCTTGTTTTTCAATGCAGAATAGTACTCCATTGTGTGAATATACCAGAGCTTCTCTATCCATTCATTTGTTGATGGGCACTTGCGTTGTTTCCAACTCTTCGTTATTGTGAACAAAGCCGCAATAAACATGGGTGTGCATATGAGAACATCTTAACGAAATAAGTTCTATCGTCTTTATTGTGTTTGCAAAGTATATTCAAGGTCTAACAAGGTTATCTTCATGGTATAGCATTCTCCATTTGTTTAATGGGTAAATAGATACGAAAATCACCTAAAATAAACTAATTGTATATGTAGATGGATGTACTCTGTACTTTCCAACTGTGATTTAGTAATTACAGTTGTAGTTAGGTGCCATCGATTTGAGTACGACTATTAGCAAACCCTATGAAGAAAAGATCTGAAACCTGTTCTGTCCTGTGCCGTGTCACACTTCTGACGCACAAGAGCCCATTGTGGCAGTCACAGCATCAATCCATCAGTATATCTATTTTGTGCAGATGACACAACCTTGCTTGCTGAAACTGAGGAAGACCTGATGTGCTTGCTGCAGAAGGTCTGAGGACTGTAGTCTTCAATATGAGATTGAAGCTCAACATCAAGAAGACAAAGATTCTCACCACTAGGCCTATTGGCAGCACCATGATAGATGGAGAAGAAATTGAGGTTATTAACAGTTACAACTTGCTCAGTTCCACAATCAACACTTTTGGCACCAGCAGTCAGGAAATCAAAAGACTTGCATCAGGTAAATCTGCTGTTAGGGACATTTCCAGAGAACTGAGAAGCAAAGATGTTAGCCTAGAGACTAAGGTGCAACTAATCCAGGCCATGGTCTTTGCAATTACTTGCTATGCACCAGAGAGCTGGACAATGACAAAGGACAATAGAAGAAGAATTGATGCCTTTGAGTTATGGTGCTGGAGAAGAGTCTTGTACACATACCATGGACCACCAAGAAAACAAATAAGTCTGTCTTAGAGTGAAACCAAGTTTCTCCTTGTAAGCTAGGATTTTGAAGCCCCGTCTCACATACTCTGGGAGTGTGGCCAGGAGGGACTAGTCCTTGGAGGACATTATGCTTGGAGACAGCACAGGAGAAGAAGATCCCAAACGAGATAGAGTGATATAGTAACTAGGGCAATGGGGGTAGGTGTGTTGGAGCCAGTGAGACTGGCTCCAGACAGGGAAGGGTTTAGAGCTGTTGTGCATAGGGTTGCTATGAGTCACAAGTGACTCAACAGCACATAACAAGAACAACAACATCAACATATTCACTTTCTTTTGTATCTCACCTAATGTTCTCCAAATGCTAGCAGTCTCTCATTTTCCTCAGTAACTTTAGCAATTGATTTGGCGTCTTCCCACCCCTGATCTTGCCTACTGACATGAAGCTAGGTGATGTCAGTAATTTGTCTAACATTTTGGTCTTGGACTTCTCAGTGCCAATGAGCAATTTTATTCCATTCTAGCCGAACATGTTGGGCCTAAGTAGCATTAGCAAACTCTCTGGCTTCAATATTTCAAACTGCAGAATTAATTTCTGTGGTTTTCTAACCTCTCATTTAAGTTCCTAAATCTTAAGATACTGTTTTTAAATGTTATCAGAACTCCTAAAGTAATTTATAAATTTGCATTACATCGCATGCCTAGTAAAAAAAACTTAATGACTTAATATACTTTTTCAGCATGTTGTTGTTACAATAGTTTCTGAACCCTGTCCTATCCTGAGCCAATCTATCTCCAAAATACCTGCCCCAGTCACTATGTCAAGCCATCTCATCCAGAGTCTTCTGAATTGTCCCTCCACCTTTTCAAGCATGCTATCCTTCTCCAAAGACTGCCCTCCTGGAAACCTGCCCAAAATATGTGGGACAGAGTTTAAAAATTCTTCCCTCCAGAGAGCAACATGGTTTCACCCTCTCTAGGATAGACTTGTTTGTTCTCTTGGCAGTCCATGGTATGTTCAAGACTCTTCTTCAGTATTAATTGAAAGGCATCAATTTTTCTTCTGTGATGTTTATTGTCTAGCTCTCCAATGAATAGTAAGTAATTGCGAAGACGATGACATGGATCAGGTGCACCTTAGTCTCTAGACATCTTGCACTTCAGCACTGTGGAGAGGTCCCTGACAGAGGCCTTCCTAATCCAATTAGTCTTTTTTATTTCTTGGCCAATGATTCCAAGAGTTAATTATGGACCTGAGCAAGATGAAATTGTTGACAATGTGACTCTCTTCTCCGTCTATCATGGTACTGCCAATTTGCCCAATAGTGAGAATCTTTGTTTTTTGTTTTTTGAGGGGGGCATTTCAGAAATAGAATTTATTCCGCATAAATGCTTCCTCTTCTCTTTACCTAATGGTTTGCGGAGGTGGGGAGTTCTGTAAATTATGACAGATGCTTTTCCAAAAATAATCTTGTTTTGGATTTCACACAAATGGGTAAGAAACAGTTTTCTACTACATGTTAGGATATTTCTTCATTGCTCCTAGACTAATTTTATACTCAGTTTCTCTTTGTTTTAAATTTTTTTAATTATGTGTGTGTGTGTGTGTGTGTGTGTGTGTGTGTGTGTGTACTGTCAGTTCAGATCTGACTGGTACAGGAGGAGATTGTTCCTCCTTCTCCAGCAGAGAATCTGGTGGATTTGAACCGTGCACCTCTGGGATTGCAGTACACCTTCTTGCCACTAGGCCACCAGAGCTCACCATCAGTTTCTCTTTTACTTTAATACAAATGAGAACGCCAACTGATGATTAGTAGAATTATCTCTGAATATGCAGGTCTTCTTACACACATGTGATTGAGTTTATTGTAGAGAAAAGTAAGAGAATATGGATACAAAAAAGAAAACAAGTGGAGACATGCACTGCCTTAACAGCCCTGCCGTGAACTGCCCAATTCTTTCTCATCAGGATGCTATTTTTTTCTGGTAATTTCCATGTTGTAGATCCTTTGGCAAGTGTCATAGCTTTCCCGCTGTTGCTTGTAGCATGACTTCTCATAGTACAGCCTTCATGTAATGTCTTCAATGAGCCTGTCTGTAGTGAGGCTTCTGTTTAGGCTTCTGTAAGTGCTTTCCATGTTGCTATCATGTACCATCACAGTCTTGGCAATGAACTTCAGGTGTTTTGCCATGCATGATCTTGGATTTAAGTTTTCACTCTTACAGCTGAGCACACCTTCCTTCTCAGTCACAGCACAACCCGTTCACCCCAACTACCTTAGCTCTATCTCTAGAATATTTATTTTCTTGATGTTGAGTTTCAATCTATATTGAACATTGCAGTCCTTGACTTTCTACAGCAGATGCTTCAGGTCCTCCTCAGTTTCAGCAAGTAAGGTTGTGTTATCTGCATATTTCAAGTTAGTGATGAGTCTTCCTCTAATTCCAATGCCACATTCCTCCTCATAAAGACCAGCATCCCAAATTATCTGTTCTGCATGTAGAATGAAGAGGTATGGAAACTGGACACATCCCTGACTCATTCCTTTTATTATTTAAAACCATGCATTCATGCTCTGATCTGATGGCTGCCTCCTGGTCTAAGTATAGGTTTTGCATGAGCACGATCAGATGTGCTGTGATACTCATTCTTTGCAGAGTTAGTCACAATTTGTTGTGATCCACATAGTCAAATGCCTTTGCGTAGTCAATGAAACACAGACAGACATTCATCTGCTTCATTTTTGCTTTCAGCCAGGATCCATCTGACATTGGCAATGATGTCCCTAGTGCCAACCCCTCTTCTAATCCCAGCCTTTACTCTAGAAGTTCTCTGTTGATGTACTGTTACAGTAATTTTTTTTAATAATCATCAGCAAGATTTTATTTGTGTGTGATAATAGTGATATTGTTTGGTAATTTCCACACTCTTATAGGACTACCCTTTTTTGGAATGGTAATATCTTCTAGTCAGCTGGCCAGGTGGTTATCCTTCACATTTCTTGGCACAACTTGATGAGCACATCC